CAATCAAATTTCAGAAAAATCAAACTAGCACCCTCTCTCTTGTCTCGTTCTCCCCAAAGGCACTCTCTCACTCTCTCACTCTGTAACTCTCTCAAACAAACACCAAACCCTATGAACGTGACCTGAAAATCATACCATTGAACTCATCTCGACCCCACGAACACAACCATGCAACTAGTTTCAAGAATGGTTGAGTTTTGACTTACCAACTCGGAAGTTTCGATTCAGTGAGTTTTGGGTTGACAATTTTTAGATCGAGTCACAACGTTTTATGACTCGGGGAAGCTCCTACTCAACTCCCTAAGGATCCTGGTCAAGGTTTAAGGAAGAGTTGACTTGAAACAACCTGGTTTCAAGGAACGAGTTTTTGGCAAAACCTTTTAAGGCATTTTCAGGCCACTTCCCGTCCATTTTTTGGACTTCCAAGAGGTATAATTTTGTTCTATTCTTCATAAGCATCATTTCCATATGAATTTCATAAAAAATGGTTGAGAAATGAGCAAGTTATGAATCTTTGAAATTTTACCCAGAAATCGGTGAAAAATTCCAGATTCTAGCGTAACCAGACGACAACCAGCGATGCTCACTAGAGAAGACAACGGAATATTCTGTCAAAGTTGACAAATATTCTAACGATGTCTGGTAACGCCATTAAACTCTGTTAATTATTTAACGAAATATTCTGTCAAATTGACGGAATATTCTTGACGGACGTCAGGGTCTGGCCTATGCGTGGTGGTGCGTATGGCCGTGCCTTAGCAGGCGCGTCTGACGTTCAATTGGCTTTCTGTCAGTTTGTGTAGGTCCGTGACATCGAGTAAATCGATTTTGTATATTCAAACCATATGTTTAAGCAAACTACAGAGGTTTTATTTAAGTTTCTGTTTAAGTGTTATTAAACTAGGTTAATTAGTAATTTCACATATAGGTGAAATGTATCCCGAGGACATACGGGGTCAAGTAAGGCTTAGAGGCTTCGTTTCGACTGTGTAACTATGAGTGGGTCATTTCTTTTTATAAGTATACGCATACTTGCTAGTTTCCAGTTATACTTTAAAAAGAATTTACTACGTATGGCCTGCTTATACTAAAATTACATGAAGTAGTGAACTGACTGAACTTAGGGAATTATTCTGCGCCCTATAGGTTCACAGGTATGCACGAGATACTATGATATTATATTTACAGCTATGATTATTACTATGTTGATTAGAGTTATTGAATCTTTGTGGCATGATTATATTTATGTTATCTGCTCATCATTGTTGCACCCCGGTGTTAATACTCACCCTAGACCAGGGTCAGTCCTTCACCTGTATGTTCACATCCACACCATTCGCTCGCCTTGGATCCAAGTAGGTGCCAGTCCTGTCATACAAATTACACTAGGAAATTTTGACTTGTATATGACCATGTTTCAGCGTCAACCTTCACGTGATCGTAGTACTAGAGTACATTGATTACACCCAATTTTGTCGTACAGGTCGCATTAGGCGACTCCGACTCGTGTGCTAGCATTGATTGATGAGCAATCAGTTCAGTTGTACAGGTTGCATTAGGCAACTTCGACTTATGTGCTAGTAGATTGTTAAGCATTCTTTATGTTATGTTTACATATTGCGAGATTATGTGATTACGGTCACCTTGTGCTTACTTACGATAGCTGTATTTTATTGATTTTCTTGAGACTTTGCAAGCTACGTTAAGTATTTTCTTATTATACGTAGTACGAATATTTTGGAAACTATACTTGATTTTACGGCGAAAGGTTATATCGTTTTTGAAAAGGTTTTTACAAAACACTATTTTTTGACCCACTCAATTTTATTTTTCGCCCCTCCAGGTTTAGTAGCTATGCTTACGTGTAAGCAAGGACTCTGGAAAAATTGTTGTAGATGGTTATCTTCAATGGTATAACCTTCACCCTACTTTACTGTATTGTTTTTATGCTCTGACATCATGTGTGAATTGGGTTAAATCCCGCTCACCCGCACACTCTTATGATTAGGCACTTTTAGGTTTTAATTTATTCACATTCTTTTTCCACTACACTACATTTTATGGCTTCGTCACCCTCCAGGTGTCGGCCAACACAACTCGATTCGAAGTCCAAGTGGACATTTCAGGTCGGGGTGTGTTCATAAAAAATGGTTGAGAAATGAGCAAGTTATGAAGCTTTGAAATTTTACCCATAAACCAACGAAAATTTCCAAATTTAGGCGAAACAAGACGACGGCGACCGGCGAGGCTCGTCGGAGAAGACGACGGAATATTCTGTCAAAGTTGATGGAATATTCTAATGGCTTCAGGTAACGCCGTTAACTTCCGTTAGTATTTAACGGAATATTCCGTCAGACTAACGGAATATTCCTGACGAACGTCAAGGTTTGGCCTGCACATGGTGGTGCGTATGACTATGCCCTAGTCAGCTCATCCGGCCTCCAATTAGCTTTCTGACAATTTGTGTAGGTCCGTGACGTCGAGTAAATCGATTTCATATAAACCCTATGTTTGAGCAATCTATGGAGGTTTTATTTAAGTTTCCATTTATGTGTTATTAAACTAAGTTAATTAGTAATTTCACATATAGGGGAAATGTATCCCAAGGATGTACAAGGTCAAGCAAGGCTTGGAGGCTTCATTTCGACTGCTTAACTGTGAGCTAGTCATTTCTTTTTATAAGTATACGCATACTTGGTAGTTTCTAGTTATACCTTGAAAAGAATTTACTACATATGCCTTGCTTAGACTAAAATTACATGAAGTAGTGAAATGAATGAACCTAGGGAATTATTCTACATCCTATAGGTTCACAGGTATGCACGAGATACCATGATATTATATTTACGGCTGTTATAGTTACTATGTTGATTAGAGTTATTGAATCTTTGTGGCACAATTTTACTTATGTCATCTGCTCATCATTGTTGCACCCCGATGTTAGTAATCCACCCAAGGTCAGGGCCATCCTTTCATGCGTATGTTAACATTCGCACCGTTCACTCGCCTTGGATCTAAGTTAGGTGCCAGTCTTGTCGTACAGATTGCATTATGCAATTCTGGCTCGTATATGACCGTGCTTCGGCGCTAGCCTTCACATGATTGTAGTACTAGAGTGCATTTATTACACCCAGTCTTGTCGTATAGGTTGGATTAGGCAACTCCGACTCATGTGTCAGCATGTGTCGATGAGCATTTGTTTTGTTATGTTTACTTATTACGAGGTTATGTGAAATTTGTCCCCTTATGCTTATTTGTGATAGCTGTGCCTTATTGATTTCTTGAGACTTTGCAGGCTACGGTACGTATTTTCTTACTATATATAGTACGTATATATTTTGGAAACTATACTTGATTTTACGGCGAGAGGTTATAATGTTTAAAAAAGATATTTTACAAAACGTTATTTTTTGACCCACTCAACTTTTTTTTTCACCCCTCCAGGTTTAGTAGCTAGGATTTCGTGTAAATGAGGACTCTAGCAAGACCTCAGTAGATGGTTATCTTCAATGGTATAACCTTCACCCTAATTATTGTATTGTTCTTATGCTCTGCCATAACATGTGAAATGGGTTCAATCCCACTCACCCGCGCACTCTTTTGATTAGGCACTTTTAGGTTTTAAATTTATTCGTATTTTTCCACTACACTACACTTTATGACTTCGTCACCCTCCAGATGTCGGCCAGCACAATTCGATTCGGAGTCCAAGTGGACATTCCGGATCGGGGTGTGTCATCTCTATCGTTACTATTCTCAAATGGATGATGGAACACGCCCATGTGGGCATGTCAGCCAGACTAATGAGCTTAACGGAAGAGGATCCTCGCTGGATTGGCGGATCCTCTTTGTGATGATCCCGGGGATCCTCCCACCATAACTGTTCATCGTGCATCGTACAGTCAGAAATCATTGTAATTTTTTTATTTAAAATTGAATATAAACAGTACCTGACAAAAACTGACCGCACGATGCACGATGAACGGTTGTAATGGGAGGATTCCCGGGATCCTCACAAAGAGGATCCGGCGAGGATCCTCTTTCGAGCTTACACTACTACAATATATGCTATCACCGGCGGAGGACAAACCGACGAGAAATCAACTTTCTGTCGAAAATTTGGCACAAATCCGACATTACATAATGTAATGTCGCTTTTCAATAGCGACACTATTGCTAGGGTCGCAAAAGGGCTTCAGCGTCGCTTTTTGAGCTTAATCCGCCACTACATAGTGTCGCTTTAAAGCGACACTAACCCTAACGTCGGTTTAAAGCGACGCATATTTACACGTGGATCAGCTATTTAATAATAAAGTATGCAGTATACTGTCGCTTTAAAGCGACATTATATTAAAATGAAATAAATAAAATATTCCTTAAACCGACGTTAGATAACAATGAAATAAATAAAATATAAAAACTAGCGACGCATACTTACACGTGCATCAGCTATTTAATAATAAAGTATGCAGTATACTGTCGCTTTAAAGCGACATTATATTAAAATGAAATAAATAAAATATTCCTTAAACCGACGTTAGATAACAATTAAATAAATAAAATATAAAAACTAGTAACGGTCTTAACCGACACTATATTTGTTAATAATAATAAAAGTGGATGAACAACTGCATGCAATTTCAATTAATTCCAACCAAAAAAAATTATAAATTTTAAGATCAAAATAAACATTAATGAAAATAAATAACAAAAACAATAGTGCCAAACTGTACATTTCACATTTCACATAAAATCCAAAAAGTCGTCCGTCGTAACAAACATTAAATCCGACATTACAAACATAACATAAAAAAACAAAAATGAAAATAAATAACAAAAACAACAGTGCCAAACTGTACATTTCACATTTCACATAAAATCCAAAAAGTCGTCCGTCGTAACAAACATTAAATCCGACATTACAAACATAACATAAAAAAACAAAAAGATAGACCAATTATACTGTCGTATTTAACCGACAAGAAAAAGAACCAATTAAACTACCCAACCGAATCTGCGCCTGAACGTCGTCCAGATCCTTCTGCTTGAGAATCTTCTCCTTGAGATACTCCTCCTTGAGATCCTCCTTCTTGAGATCCTCCATCTGATCCAAAAATCCTCGACAAGTCCACATCAAATCCAACACCTGCAAGCATTCCAGAAAACCCCCCAACTGGAACTTCCGGAAAAGATCCACTAGGAGCAGCCATCTCAGGTCGATATACTGGCACTTGATAAGGCGGCTGCTGCATGTATGGCATGGGCGGCTGCTGCATGTATGGCATGGGCTGCGCAGGCATCGGATACACAGGATATAGAGGTTGCTGATTATTGCCAGCATACGGATATGCAGGGGAAGGCTGACTTTGGCCCGACTGTTGAGGAGGTTGACTGTGGCCTGATTGTTGGGTTCCCGGGCTATATGGTGGTTGTGGCTGAAATCTTTGAAAAAACCATGCAAACAACTGATTTTGCTTGTTCTCCAGGTCCGAAATCCGTTTATTATTATTTTCGTCTCTCATTTTCAACTCATTATTTTGAGTCATTAGCAACGCCATTGAACTCTTAGATGATCTCCTAGAGGAAATTGATGTAGAAGATGCAGAAGATGCATAAGACACCATATCAGGAGTCACACCATGACCGTATCCTCTGACTCTATTATACCTCTCAGGACCCATAGTATCAACATAAACTTGGGTCCTAAGATCTTCATTATCGTCTTGGCCCGACTCAATCAATGTTTGCAGGTTGCTCTCCATTGTTGACTTGCATTACAATTTTTAAAAACAAAAATTCAATCGTAAAACAGAAAAATAAGCTATAGATAATAAATACTAATAAAATCAAATACTAACACGAAAAAATCAATTACCCCTGTACGCTCCGATGTTTCATCAATCCATGATTTATCTTTTCGTGTATGACATTCACGAAAAAAGGTTACAGGATCTGCTTCTTTCCCATGCTTCTTCCGCTTTATCAAAAATAAAATTTCATACAAACAAATTAAGCAAACCTCATACTAAAAATAAATATAATTATTTAAAATTAATCATCTCTTGAAAATGTACAATCCATACATATTCTTCCCGCACTCTTGCAAAGGATTTTGTACCAGTAGTATGGTTCATTGATTTCAATCCCCGATTAATCTTATTTTTTCAGCAACCTCCTGAAAAAAAACGAACGAAAAAAGAAAAGATTATATTAGGCAACTTTAAAGTTATAACGAAATAAATCGTGTAGGGTTTACCTTTGTTTTGTCTCTATTCCAATATGCCAACAAATCATTCCACTGGGTAGGAATCACATCAGGAGGAGGCTCGCTGCGAACCTGTTCTGCTCTTTTAGTATAATACTTTTTTTTTAACTTATTTCTAAACTCTTTGTGCGCATGCTCCGCAATCTTAAGCGTCATATGACGGATCAAAGGCATTTTTACTATATCTGCATCTTCAAAAAAGATACTTCCCTACATACATAAAAACAAAAAACAAAAAAAATCACGCTAGTCAAATATTATTACAATCATTGACCTATTCTTCTATTTTCAACTAAAAATAAAAAGATCTATATATACCTTTATTCTATTCCAAAAAGCTTCCTTATCTTCTTCCGTAACCTTACGCCAATCTTTCTCCAACGGAAGATTTCTATAGTCCCTAACCTCCGCTGCTACATGTTTTGAAAAAGCACTAGCGTTATCACTAATGCATTTTCCGGACGAATCAAACGAACAAAGCTGTTTCGTCCATTTAGGAATTGAGGGTCCACGCCTCCGTTGAGATGTACCTTGTTAATACAAACACACAATTAAAAAGTAGGAAACAAATGTATATTTTCAGATTAGCAATAATAATCGTTCAAACACAACAAAAAAAAAAAAAAAACTGACACTCATAACAATTCAAAAAAGAACCAGCATCACCCTCGTCCTCTTCCAAATGAAGTTCCTCAGAACGTTGATCTTCACGGGAATTATCCATTGCAAAACTTAATGGAAGGAGAAGGAAGTGGGGGAAAGAGGAAGCTAGAAATGGGGGAAAGAGGAAGCCAGAAATGGGTGATAGAGAGGAGAGACAGAAGTGGAACACGGAAGTGAAGGGAGACAGAAATTAAATATGGATAACAACTTAGCGTCGAAATATGAATACATTACGTCGCTTAAAACCGACACAATCACTGACTAAACCTCCCCACACGTAACCTGACATAAAGCCTGCTATACTTGTCAGTGCAAGCCTATTGCGTCGCTTTAAACCGACGTTATCTTGCATAGCGTCGAAATAAGGGCCTACTGCGTCGTTTAAAACCGACGTTAGCTTGCATAGCGTCGAAATAAGCACAGGTTTGTGTCGCTTAAAACCGCCACTATATCTGATTCGACCTATATTATAGCCTGACATAGTTTTGACTGAAAGTCTGACATGTTTCAGTCATAAATGCCTTTGCGTCGAAATAAGGTCACATTGCGTCGGTTTTAACCTACGTTAGCCTGACAGGTTTTTAATAAGAGAAAGTTTGTGTCGAAATATGAAAACATTTGCTTCGAAATAAGAATCGTCTGACATTCAATTAGTCTCGAAAATGTATAATTTTGCCTCGATTAAAACCAGTCCAGGTTGACATGCCAATCAATTCAACCCATTCCAAGCAAAAAATACCGGGAAACCTCCCGCCGAACATAAAAATAAAATTTGTACTTCCCAAAAAAAAAGGAACAAATAAATAAATTTATTAAGTTATGTTATGTCATATAATATTTTAATAAATAATTAGACATGCCAATCAATTTACCCAAAATTTAAAAATAATTAGTTATGTTATGTCATATAATATTTTAATAAATAAATTTATTAAGTTGAATCAATTTTTTTTGCACTGTAATTGTTATTTTAATTTGTTGTTATTTTGATAATTTTTTGTTGTTATTTACTAGAATGGATTAGATGAACATAATTTGAGTTGTTATGAGAAAATGGAATGAATAATATTTATAAGCATTTATGTTAAATTAACAATATTAAATATAACCTAAACTTATAATATTTAGGAATATAAGAATATATTATGTTAAATTAATTTTTTTTGCACTCTAATTGTTATTTTAATTTGTTGTTATTTTGATACATTTGATAACATTTGGTTGTTATTTACTAGAATGGATTAAACACCATTGAACCCAAATCAAAGTTGGAAGTGTGGTGATATGTAGAGTTGCTCCACATCGGAAAGTTAATTACCCTAGAAAGCTTAGAAGAGTTGAGTCACTCTTTGTATTTTAAATTGAAGATCGAATTCATTCATTGTATTCATATAGGGTCAAGGAGTGTAGTTATAAAAAATCATCTAAATCGGAGTTAAAATAACCGTTAAATCGTGATTTTTCGTTTATAACCGTCGAAAAGCTTTGTCCCGTTACTTGATCTCTGAATGTTTTTTTTTTGTGATTTTTTGCTGATGTGATCTCCAAGCATATACAAACAATTTTGACGGTTTGGATCGTTGAAATTAGTTTTGGAGAATTCGTAAAACGATAGATTGGCTAACACTTAGAGTTTATTTATACTTTCATTAAGTATAACGTAAGATTTTGTGGTATCCACTTGTGTAAATATTTTAAATTGAAGATCGAATTCATTCATTGTATTCATATAGGGTCAAGGAGTGTAGTTATAAAAAATCATCTAAATCGGAGTTAAAATAACCGTTAAATCGTGATTTTTCGTTTATAACCGTCGAAAAGCTTTGTCCCGTTACTTGATCTCTGAATGTTTTTTTTTTGTGATTTTTTGCTGATGTGATCTCCAAGCATATACAAACAATTTTGACGGTTTGGATCGTTGAAATTAGTTTTGGAGAATTCGTAAAACGATAGATTGGCTAACACTTAGAGTTTATTTTTACTTTCATTAAGTATAACGTAAGATTTTGTGGTATCCACTTGTGTAAATATTTTAAATTGAAGATCGAATTCATTCATTGTATTCATATAGGGTCAAGGAGTGTAGTTATAAAAAAATCATCTAAATCGGAGTTAAAATAACCGTTAAATCGTGATTTTTCGTTTATAACCGTCGAAAAGCTTTGTCCCGTTACTTGATCTCTGAATGTTTTTTTTTTGTGATTTTTTGCTGATGTGATCTCCAAGCATATACAAACAATTTTGACGGTTTGGATCGTTGAAATTAGTTTTGGAGAATTCGTAAAACGATAGATTGGCTAACACTTAGAGTTTATAATTATTATAATTAGTATAAAACTACAAATAATAAAAAATAATTATATATAATTATTATTATTAGGGTGTAAAACATTCATTGCATTCGTATAGGGGTGTAAAACAGTTAAATTAATATATAATTATTATTGTTTTTAGGGGTTTTTTCACTTAAATGGGTGCTTTAGATTTTGGTCCTTACAATTCATTATTTCTAGATAAAAACCCATCTATCTTTAAAGATTCAGTTTAAGCCCAAATTTAAAATTTGCAAACATATAGGAACACTATTGACCTATTAATACAATTTATTTACACTCATGCCACTCATACTTTATGGTCCCTTTTCTAAATTCCTAAATTTATGCCAAATGAAAAGTAGTAGAAAAAGTGAAATAAAATGAAAAAAGTGTTTGCATTAACCGTATCTATGTCAAACTAGAAAAGTAGTTTTTTTTTTCGTGATATATTTTGTAGCAATTTTATCCATATTAAATGGTAGGTAAATTAGTTTGTTCCAATTATTTTTAAAAAAAAATACTACACCTATATTATATATTTTGAATCAAATAACATTCCTCTAACTTGTAGGTAAATTATTTTCTATGTATTGTTTTATATATTAGACATGTTTTGTTGTTGTATAAACATGAGTGGAACATAATATTGTTGATTTTATACATCAAACTGCATTTCTTTTGTTATAGGTAAATTATTTTCCATGTACAAGTACTTATGTTAGGCAAGTTTTGTTATTGGTACATACAATATTTTGTATCATTGTAAAGAAAGATGTTACATTACACCCATGGTATAATTGTTGTAGGTAAATTATTGGAACTTAATTTGTAGTTAGGTAATGAACATTTCAAAGAGTAGGTAGGTAAATTAATTTGTTCTAATTATATATACAAAAAATTACACTACACCTAGCTATATTTAATTTTTCCAATTATTAAAAAAATTTATACTACACCCAACCAAATAACATTTCTCTAACTTGTAGGTAAATTATTTTTCATGTATTGTTAGATATGTTAGGCACGTTTTATTGTTGTATAAACAGGGGTGTAACATAGTATTTTTAATACTATACATTGAACTACATTTCTTCTTAATATAGGTAAATTATTTCTTCTTTTTAATATACATTGAACTACATTTCTTCTTAATATACATCGAATTACACCCATGGTATAATTGTTCGTAGGTAAATTAATGTGCATGTAAATAATGAAATACAATGTTCTAATATATTAATAAAAAAAGGATAAATTCAAAAGTATGCAAGAGTAGGGTGAAAAATCTGAATCGAATAGTTTTATGAAAATTCAATACCTTTGTAAAAAATTAATATGCAATAAATTTTTAACATTAATGTCTTTTTTTTTTCTTGTTGCAAAATCATTTACTATTTCCTTACAATTAATTGTCTACATCAAGTATGTAATAGGGGTATTTTAGGCATGTGAAAAATGTAAAATGTGTGAATTAATATGAAGTTAATGAATTTGCTTATGTGGATCCTAGTCATTGGGTTTTCTTTGAGTAAAAAATTTATGTAGGGTTTTATATAAAAAAAATTAAGTTTGAAGGGCTAAAGTCATATTTTCACTTAAATTAATATATAATTATTAATATTTAGGCTATAAAACTGCAAATAATAAAAATAATTATATATAATTATTATTATTAGGGGTAATGCATATGATTGACAACAAGTATCTTGCGTCGAAATAGTCTCATATTGCGTCGAAATAGGCTAGGGTTGCGTCGGTTAAAACCGACGCCAAGTCTGACACACATGTCCTAAGCTTAACATTGCGTCGAAATAGGCTGGGGTTGCGTCGGTTAAAACCGACGCCAATTCTGACATACCTGAAAAATGCCGTCGGTTAAAAGCGACAGAATG